ATGCATCATGCATGACATAGCTAGTCCGAGCCACCCACCCCCATGCATGACATAGCTAGTCCGAGCCACCCACCCCCATGCATGGGTTAAATTATGTAATTGAGTGGCAAAGCAGGCTACAACCCATTTGCAGCTTTTTCACAATTCCAAGAAAGAGTTTTACTGTCGCCCTCAGGCTCATCCCAGCGGTGGTCACCACTTACATATTCAACGAACGCGACTTAAACAATTCCCCCCCCACCACCCTGTACATCAATCAATGCCGCGCTGCAACCGCAAGTTAAGATCACGTGACTTGCTTGACCTCCTGCTATTGGTCGGTTACATAGAGACGGTGTGGAACTTTACACAGCCACTCCGCACACGCTGTTCAATCTTCCACACGTGGAATAAAATATCAAACACGTGTGATGTTTTCCACACGCCACAGATCGATGCATTTTGCATGCGCACACGCTGTGGAACTAAACGCGCTGTGGACGATGGCTTTATGTAGTAAATACGTAGTTATACTTTATTCTTATTGTATTATTAGAACAATATTATGTATACATTGTATATAATGTTGTCGGATAGTAGCGAGCGTGAGATAGCGTGAGATCCGCAGCGAGTGATGAAGCAAATCAAAAAAGGTGCCGTTTTGTGCAGCCGCGCGACTATTATACTTGGCAGTAATTAATTGAAATATGTGTAAAAATATTGTTAGTAGCCAACAGAGGTGGTTGGCTAGCCCCCCCCCCCCCCTAAACCTCCACCACTACACATGCGCACGCACGCACGCACACACACACACACACACACAAACACACACAGAAAGAGAGCAACGTAAAAACAACGTCGAAATGTCAACGTTAAAACACGTTCAAATGTAGAGACGGTGTGGAACTTTACACAGCCACTCCGCAGACGCTGTTCAATCTGCCACACATGGAAGAAAATATCAAACACGGCGGCCGTACGACCTTCAGGCTCTGTTTATGAAGCAGTACGACCTTCAGGCTCTATACGACTGTTTCACGTTGTAGGAAAAATATTTTGGAACTCTCTTTAGGTAAATGAAATGACAAGAGTCAGATATTTGAATATGTATGATCGGCAGGCGGTATCTTTGAATTTTATTTTTTCTTGAAACCCTCTAAAAGTGGCCGCAGTCGCACATTTTTCACTTCGAAATGTGAAGTGCGGGCTGGTGAGCCGAACCAAAGGTAATTTTTTGGTCGGCCTTAGTAAACAAAGAACAACTCAAACATATCAGTAAATTTGTTTATGTGTAGAAATATTGGCAGTCGCCCAAACTTTTTTGGGGGGGCAAGTGACTACTTGACTTGTGCAATTTTCGGTCGCCCGAGCTAGACATTGGTCGCCTGTGGCGAGTGGGCGACCGTCCATTTCAGGCACTGCATACCCATGCAATGTTCGAAATAAAGAAAAAATTTTGCTTGTCCGACGAACAAGCTACAAGATATTTTTGCTTGTCCTGATTTAAAATAACATAAAAATATATTAAATGTGTAATTAAAGTTAAATCCTTCCCGTGCCTTCATACGCATAGTGCATAGCTACATGGCGCATAGGGCGGTGCCTATCTCCGTTTCAGTAACCCTGAGGCCCCGCAGCTGCTTTCACAGTAAGTGCTACATTAGGAGGTTAGTCCACTGGTAGCACTGCGAGTTAACTTGCCACACTCTATCTCTATTTGCTGAATGCTAAGCAGAGAAGACCATTTTTCAAGTCTTTGGTATGACCCGGCCGGGAGTTGAACCCCCGACCTTCCACATACGAGGCAAGCACTCGACTATTGAGCCATCGCAGTGGTAAATGTGTAATACATTTAATCAGGAGTAGATAATAGGGAAGGAGTGTGGCATCAATAAACAAGGGGAATTCGTCATTTACTAGCCTTATAATACCTACGATTTACTACGCGTAAATCATCCAACTTGAGCTCAAATCGTACACAGTACATTCGCCTAGCATCGTGCGAAATCGTTTCCTCGTATACACAAGCAATCCGGAGATACAGACTAAAACGTACTACACGATTATCTATTCTTTGGCCATCAATCCAAGCCGATTGCCCAAGCGATTATTCAAACAAAATTAGGCATCAACGCAACACTGAACACTCGGCGAGATAACCTTTGACCCTGTACACAGCTACATACCGGCATACAGCTGGCATGCCCCCACGCATGCACGCCAACCGCAATCAGCAGCAGATCGGGCTCAAATCTCTCAGCGAGCCACATTGCCCGCCGAGTTAGCAATAGCGCGTTAGTAGCTGCCTTTTGTTTGAATATAGGCGGGCAATCGGCTCTGCCATACTAACTAGTTCGTTCCAGAGCACGGCCTCGCGGAATTACCGTATTTTTCAGCTAATTAATGTCCAAAGAAAATTTGGCAGACGTGCAACCGCATGAATCTTAAAAATAAGCACATGCGTTATTGTTAAGATCTGTAATTTTGAACCCCAGACTGCGGACTCCCTCTTTTTGACTCCCGGGGGTTGGACTCCCGTGTTCAAAAGTTAATTTCTACCCCTCTATTTGCGTTCAGCAGGACTGAGAAATCTAAGTATTTATGCAGCACTACTATACTGAGTGGCGCTTATGCTCAGATTTTTGTGCTGCATTGAGTTTAAATCATAGTGTGGCACTATCATTATAATATGCTGCATATTCAGATCGTTCCATGCATGTGGAGTTTATGCGGTCATAGAAAATCTGGAAAGTCAAAAAACCTGGAATTATAAAATGCCATTATCCAGATCTGGAGCATCCTGGAAAATTGGGCATGGTCTTGGAAAGCCCTTGAGATTTAACACATGTCTATGCTGTGTGAGGGGCGTTCATGCAAGAGTTTGCAGTCAAATTATTGATTGTTTGCTGAGGCACAATGATTGTGTGCCACTTAAATCTTGCTGTTATAGAAAATGGACTATATAAATCTTGTAAACCTCCTGCATTGTTTTGCCATGCTAGTTAGGTGGTTGATCAGTATTACATTTACACCAAATACAGCAACAACAAATATCTCGGCATGATCGCAATTGATGCACTTTCAGATTGTAGCGACCATTGTAGCAAGGGGACCATTTCAATATATGGCCCTGGTGTAATAACACTTTGTAAGATATACTTCCATGAAATTTGTGACGAGGGTTGTCTTGATGTTATATTTCTAGGATACTACCCAAGGACCCAGAATAATGTTGCATCTGCATCAACATCAGAACTGTTCTCAGTAACAAGTAATGTCAACCATCAGCAACAGATTTCTCTGCTGTCGTGCGTCAGGTTGGCCTCGCTTCAGCCATGCATCAGTAGCAACCGTTTATTGAGCTCGAAACCACAACCTACAGTTGCAAATAAGGAGCAAGATTTAGGAGCTGTTGTGCAAAAGCAAAAGAATGACCATCGTTTTGTCAGTGCAGAGTTGGATAAAAAAGACAGCAATCCTTCTGCTAAACCATTGACGACAAGTGAAAAAGAGATGGGATCCCAGGTAGAAATCGTTACTGTGGAAGTAGATGTGCTAGAAGATAAGACGTTGTCAACTTGGCAGCGACTGAAGAACATGTACCGGCACTACTGGTATGTCACTATACCAGTGCACTGTGTGACCTCGTGCATGTGGTATGGTGCCTTCTACGTTCTAGCCAAGAAGTAAGTATCAGTATATTTAATGGGTTAACATGTTAGAAGCATGGATGCGCATGTAATAAAATAAAAGTCCCACATTCGTCATGTAGAAAATAAAATGAAATAAAAAGCTCCGTGCATAGTTGTTACAGTACAGCTTTTAATAACTCCAGTTTTATATTATTCATGCTCACTGTTATCATTGCTTTGCAGCGGTGTTGACATTGTTCCATTGCTGGAATTAATTCATACGCCAGAATGGGTTTTAGCACCAATCCAAAAGACAGGAGCAGGAGTGATTGCTGTCATGTTTGCAATGTACAAAGTAGCGACACCAGCACGATATACAGTTACCATTTTTTGCACTACGTGGACCATCACATATCTAAGGAAGAAGGGAAAGATCAAACCAGTTAAGGAGATTCGGCAGATTGTCAGGAAAAGGGCCAAGGATAGAGTTGAAAGGGCAAAAGATAGAGTTGACAAGATGACGCAGCAAAAAAGTTAACACTTTGTATTTAATGTAGAAATGCTTTTCATGTTTGTAATTGACTAGAGAAACAAAAAGTGTAAGTATAAGTCACTGAGCAGGCATTATATGATTGGCATTATTGTTAGGTTTAGGCACAAATATATGCAGTTATATATAGTCAGCCAGGTGAACCCCTACCTCCATGCTACAGGGTTTTTCCATCGAAAAAAAGGATCGCTGTGTTGAAGTTTAGTTAATGATGATATTAAGGAATGCAACGTAAATATATTTAACATTAAACTTACTGTACATGCATGAATCATGAGGGTGGTTATGTATGATTACAATACTAGATTCTTAAATGATCTGTGCTACAGCATGAAATCAGTGCAATATCAGCCATATTCTGAACGTGCGTGATCCTGGCAAAAATATTCGGTCATATTTTTGTTTATTCCAGTCAATGTTTTAAATTTGTATTTATCACAAAAATTTTTTGCAGCACGTTGCAGGTTACATGCTCTCCAGATTAACAATGTGGTATAAAATTGTGGTGTTTTAAATTGTGGTGTGTCATTATATTCGGTGTAGCTCACACTGATACATGCTAAGCAAAATTCATGACTTGGTTACCGCAATTTCTTTTTTATGTCAGTTGTATGAGTCACAATTATTTTGACCAGGCAAAATGTCAAATGAGGTGACTTATAGTTTCCTATAAAAAAGTGCAAATTGAAAACAAGTCGGATTAAAACTTAGGAACATGTTTTTTGTTGAACATCCAACTTTTGTGCCAAAACTACCTTTTTAATTTACAGACCTGTGCTTTAATCAACAGTTAATCCAGTTGAAGCGTCTACATCACAATAGTTAACGCGTGACCTAGTCATTTTAATTTCCCTGCTTCAGGCGCATAGAAAAGCTGGTATATTGTGACCTTTACATTGTTAATGCGGCATCTTGTACGTGTATATGAATTTTAAGATAAATTTCGTACTGTTCCCACTACGTGCTTGCCTTGTTCCGTCAGTATCAGCTGATAATATTTGGAAATCTGGTTTTAGTTCAGATTTTTAATTTGCAAATGATCGAGGTGGTTTCTGTAGTGAAACCTTGTAAATAGTTATTCTGTGAATAACAGCAGAATGTACACTGTTGTAGTTACTGGAAAGTAATAGATTATAAAACATAGGTACACTGGATCATGTCAAAAATGACTGCTCTGTTATCCTTGACATAGAATTACTTTACTTTTGAAGACCCTGCATCGTAAGCATGGTGGAAATAGGTAGTCGTTTAGATTTGTGCCTCGATGGTATTGGGGTGCAACCAAATGCTACAGCTTCAGTTTCATAAGATGCTCGTTTAGATGCCTGCATTTCCATTTAGACCATACAATGTCTCTTCTGGTTGTTATCCACCTTGTATCCTAAATATAAATGTTAGCTGAAACAGTTTTAGATCTGTCCTGCAATATTGGTATTAGCATGAACGTATCTATACTGTATCGATCTCTATATATAGTATAGATGTTCTTAGTAATAGCCAGCCCGTACGGATGAATGGCATCTAGTGCCATTAATATGTTTTACTTCTGAAAAATGCATGTGCACTAAAAATAAATTTGTAGTAGTACAAATAATGGAACATTGTGATGTGTAGTAATTAGTAAAAAATAGTACTTGGGCTATTGTCCTATCTGGTTTCTTGTATATATTTGAAATTTAGAACTGTTCATAATCCATATAATGGATTGGAGTCGAGCCAGTTGTTATTTAGTTTTAATTCACTGTGAACGGCAAACAATTAAATGAAAGTATGGATGAAGTTACCAATGGCTGCTGATATAAATTATTGCTCACCCATTGTTCATATAGTATTGATCATTGATCAATCATATTGTATAATGTAAAGTGCTATTTTGTCAAAGAATATCTGTAAGTAGAATGTCGACAATAGCAAAGGCTGTTTTAATACGTGTAGTTTTTATAGGTTTTATATCCGTGTGATATAAAATTCGGTCACAAAACCTAAAAAGGTAAACACGTATTAAAATACTGAAGTCGTTTATGTGCCATTACTCCCCCCCCAAAAAAAATGTCGAGAGATTATATGTTACTATTAGTATTACTCATGAGCATGTACAGAATCAACAATAAATTTGGTATATGAGTACTTTGCAGTTTCTTTATTTTACATCATTTGTGCATTCATAGCTATTCGTGTGGCACGGACAGCTAGATGACAAAAGCAGTAAACTAGCAACAACAAACGCAGAACCTATTTGAGAAATAATCAGATCAGCAATAAACGTCTCAATTATTCCACCAACGCTTCACACCAATGAGTTTAAACTCTTTTCTCTACGGCATCTACTATCTACATGTAAAATTTGCATTAGTTGCGAAACAACATTTGCATTACTACTTTAGTACACCAACATTTAAAGAATACATAAATTATCAATGTGGAGTGGCAAGCATGTACTGTTCATGTACGCTCATTTTTTCTCATCTGCCTTTGGTTCCTGCTGGTCAACTGCTGCCACATTCTGGTTTCTCTCGGCGAATGCAGGGAACATCTCCCATGGGCTGTGCAAGTCAAACTTGCGGAATTCCTGCGCTAGCTCCAGTGGTTCTATAACTACTCGCTTGGCTTCGTCGTCATAACGAACCTGCAATCCCAATCACTCGATTATATAATACCTGCCACATGCTTTATTGCCGGAGGCCAAGTTTCAACGAATTGTCCTTGTTTGATTCTTCATTCTAATTCAAAACAAGCCAACCAACTTTCACAACGACCATTTACAGCACATCGCTTTTATACAGGGACTTTTTAAGATGTGGTGTATATTCGTGAGATTTCACACATGGAAACCATGTTACTGGGCTATTCAATCTGAATATTTAACAATGCACCTATGTTTAAGTATTTCTGATGCTGGAAGAAAACAAAACAGATCATACATCGGCAGATTCACGGGAGTTTACATTCGTGCTTCAAAGTGCAGACGTATTTTTAACCAGACATATTTTATCATTCTTGTTGACTACATGCAAATAGACTAAATCAAATGATCGAACTCCACAATTTATTACACTCGTATCACAGAAAGCTTCGAATCAATCAATATCTGCTACGAGCAATTAAGATCTTTACCTCCACATATCCACTGACTGGAAAATCTTTCCTAAATGGATGTCCCTCAAAGCCGTAATCAGTCAAAATTCGTCTCAAATCTGGGTGATTTGAAAAGAACACTCCAAACATGTCGAAAATCTAAGTAAAAATAAAAATAATTACTATGAACTTTTAATAAACATTTAGAGTTTATTAAAACACAAACGCTAAAAACGTTTTTATTATATGTAAAAAGTAAATGGATCTCTATAAAGTTATATAAATGTGTACAGCCATAGGTCTCACTGAAAAGTTCAACAGTGTGACTGATATTTCAGATTAAATATGTGCTTTTGTTCAACATATCTATATAGCTGACATGAGCTAGAACATATATAACGTACCTCCCTCTCATACCAGTTGGCTCCAGCGAACACAGAGCAACAAGAATCTATTGGGGTTAGCTCATCTGTGTAAGTTTTCACTCGAACAACGGAGCTGTACCGGAGAGATCTCAGATGATATACAATCTGTGCGCCAAATTTACACATTAGGTCAAACAGATGGTGTGATGTAGTAAGAAAATTTTTGAAAGACAAGGGTCATACCATCAAGCATTCTTTACACATTTTCTTCCTGTGCACTTTTCACGTAATCAAAATTTTGTCCTCTCTAAAACATTCAGAACATACCATGCTTTTGTAACAAGTCATCAACCCAAGTGAAAAAGCTCATATGCATTGTACAATTAATCTTTTTCAACTTTAACTACATTTTCCATATGTTTGCTATATTACACACAATATTTCTGTATAGATTTATGTGTTACTAGCTCAACACGAACCTCAAATCTGTTTTCGCGTGTTGGGATGTCGACGCCACAGATGTCAACAATGTTCGTGAACTGTGCACTGTGATGGTCCTTTAGAAAGCTAAGCACAGGCACAATCCCATCCGGACAAATCATTATCTCGAGTTCATCACCATGGGAAACCTCAACCTATTATAAAACATTTTGATTACAAAAAAAATGTATGTACAATTTTTTTTAGATATACTAGTATTAATCCTTGAGCAATATGTGTATGTCTGCATATTACTAGAGTAACGTAACAGAGCAACTAATAAATAAAGCAGTTACATGTGTCCCAAATGTAACAGTAAACATAGAGATTACAATAGACTATAGAAGATACATATATATAAATCATCTCAGGCCAGAGAAAATCATCAATATATATACAAATAGTTTTTAGTAAATATTACTGTTTTTACAATTTTAAAATACTAGGCCTATGTATAAAATATCAATAGAGATAAGATGATGGTAAAAAGGCTCTGCAAGCTGCAGGACAATACATGCAATATACACGGCATACAAGCCAAAGTACGCGGCTGAGGTGTGCCAGTTTTTAGCTCATCTGACATAGTCAGATGCAGCTTGTAGAATCGCATGATCGTCCGTCCGTCCGGTCGTCCGTCAACAGTTGGGCACAAATCTTAACCGCTCGACGTACGGTCACGATATTCGGGTCGTTGGGGGGGATCGTCAAAACGAGTTGGGATGGGGGTAAAAGAAGGGGGAACATTCACGATCCTTAACTTAAGGTATAGGGAGGAAATGCGAATTGCGGGCCAAATCTAAACGGCTCGCTCCCCGGCTCCCCGTGATACGTCGGTGACCTAGCTCCCACTCGGTAGGAAAGCATCACTGTGGCGAAATTGGAGGTCACAGGGTCAAGGGTCCATGGCACAGCAGATTTTAGACATTTTTCTGAGGAATGTCTGAACGGAGCGATTGAAAAAACTTTTTTTGTTTCGCGCTCGACTTAGCTTTTTATGGGCTTTTTAGAAGGACATGAATGTCTTCTGGTCTGACCTGCGAAGCAGTAAAGTGTGATTAACCTTTTGGACCCTCAAGAGGAGGGTAACATGGATTTGTTGACTGTTAACAAAGGAGTGAACTGCTTTTGCTATTAGAGCCCTCCGCCCACCTCCCCCGGCCTTCCACCCTCCCACCCTCCCGCCTACCGCTCCTCTGCGATAGTGGGGCGTGTCCTAACATGTGTACGCAACTGCGTGTCTGCATATCTGCGCCTAACAAATGTGGTACTATGCACGACTGAAATTTTACGTTTATAATCGTAGCAACAGACCTCAGATGAGCCCAGACGCTCTGCGGCTCTTGTTAACGAAAGCACTGAATATAAAATAACATCATGGTCTTTATTCATGACTGCGAGGTATGCCAGCTCAAATTCTACAAAGAAATTTCACTAACCTAGTTACATGGGTAAGATTTGTCACTGACGACCTCTCACAAACACTTAGTTTAGCCCAGTACCCCACCAGCTGTATAGCAGTCAGCTTATAGCAGATTACTGTATTTAGAAACAGTGGCATTAATAGTTTTTGCACACATGTTCTGAGAGAAAATACATATATTTGTAGCACATGCAAATGCTAGATCCTGTTTCTTCAAGGGATTGGAAAACCAACCTGAGCGAAAGAAAGGTGATGGATGATATGCAACGAAATGTGTCACCATCGAAGTGTAGAATATATATATGTAAGTAGAGGTAGGTAGGTCATATGCGGCACTGATAATGTCTCACATCAAACTACCAGCCTAATATGAGACCAATTAGGTAATATAAATATATCAACTTACCCGCTGAACATACTTAGGGAGGTTTTCTACTATATAGGCGCCAAATTCCTGCAACTGGGATTGACAAACGGCATTTACTGGCCGCACAGTTGCTGAAGAAAACAAAGTAAAATGTCATGAAATGTAAAATTTTATTTCATGACAATATATTAAGTGAAAACAGTATTCTACACAAATGAATGAATTTGTGTGCGTGCGTGTGCAAGTCTGGGTGGTGTGTGTCTGTGTGCGTGCGTGCGAGGCTTTATGCAATTTTTAAATCTAAATTACTAGAAAAATGAACACCTCATTCACTATGAGACCCATCATGTCACAAAGGACTGTTTTACTCACGCTTTGTTTCAGTGGTTGCTGTGTTACTCTGACATCTATACAAATGGGGTACTGCAGCTGCTCGTGTCAAGCCGATCGCTGGAAATATATCATACATAAATCCAGGTATGAAATCTCCTACATAAATATCTCAAACAGGTTTTCTACTAAATAATATGTATAAATGAATAAAATTATGATGAATAAGTGATTATGAACTGGAGGTACATTGAGCCAATATAAGAGGAAATTTCATATACACTAAAGGCATACTGGCGCCATCTGTCCAAGATAAAAGACCAAAATATACAGAGGCGCTACATGAGGACTCGAGCCACCTAACACAACTAAACATATTGCAATGCACATTAATGATCACGATATACCAGATCTTTTACCCTTGTTCACTAATTACACTGAATACTGCACGTTGCTGCTTAAAATTATCGTAATTAACTTAACTAATTAAAAAAAAGTTCCATGTTCATATGGATCAGTAATTGCGTAAATTTTGCCATTTGCGGGGTGGTGGGGGGATGAGGTGGGTGGATCTGGGTTTTGATTTTAGACGCTCCGAGATGCATTCTGCGAAATTCCTTGACTGTGAAAATTTAGATTCAGCATATATTCAGTATATATATATATATATATATTAATATATATATATTATATATCAAGAGCTAATAAATACCTAGTGTACGACGGGAAAATAGTGCTATTTCACGGCAATATTATTCTACTTTGTATGCGGTTCTAGACTAAGTACATGGTATTGCATTAAGCAGCATCCTTTGCTCTCTAAAATAAGACCAACCGCTTGTCTCTACGATACTCCTAGGCCGAGATATTGGAGCGTAATCATGCCTCCCACAGGCCTCAGTAGAATAATATTGCCGTGAAATAGCACTATTTCCCAGTTTTTCCGTTGTACACTCTATATATACTTGAAAAGGGGAGGGATTGTAGTGTTTAACCATGAGGTCAGCTGAAACGTAAACCAAGTTAACTAACCGTTCCACGAACGTAAACAGAAAGTAGAACAGAAACGTATTGCGTATATACACTGTGAGGGGATTGGCATGAGCTTGCGAATAGAGCAGCATGGTGGTTGGACCGATTTTATTGTCTGAGGTACTGTGACTGTTTTAAGTTTAGGTTTTGCAATTTTATTATGTTTGCACACGCAAATTTTATATTACTTATTACTAGTAGTAGTTCGGTCGGGTTAGTAGTTGCTGAAAAAGTACTAGTAATATATTATCTGGTAGGCATTCCCACTCGCCAACAGGGCTGGTCAGACCAGACATTCTACTAGCCCTTACTGATTTCTACTAGCCTCGGGCGAGCGGGCGAGCGTTAGTTTCAAGCCCTGGATTAACTAATATGTTAAAAAACAAAAAAATATAAAAAATTGTTCATTTACATAATCAAAAATGAAGAACAAAAGGCATGTTTGGTTTTTGCCGGTTTAGCAGTAGCTCCAAGTCCACGGTCACGTTTGGCCACATCCAGGTCCAAACCATGCCGTCCTCTCAAATGTTTGGCCATGTTTGACGTGTTTCCACTCTTATAACTGACGTCCTCGAAACACAGTTTGCATGTATATTTATCTCTGTTGTCTCCCCGAAATCCGAAATACTGCCAAACAGTGGAACGGAAGTTTGCTGGTGGATTTTTCAATTTAACAGGCACATCGGCCAAACGAGCGGTATCTCGGCCGCCATATTGCCGGAAACTAAACAGAAAGCCATGACGTCAAACTAAATACCGAACCGAACCGAACCAAAAATTCCGGTACCAAATACCGTACCGAGAAATAATATCACGGTAAACATGTACCGCGGTTAATCGTTACTCCTCTACCCGGGGGTGGCCGGGAAATTAACAAGACATTTTACCAGTGGATTTAACAATGAACAGCTTGCACCAGAAGTGGGGATAGTCGCAGGGATTTAATGTTAAATTATTTACGGGACTCGGCATTACAAAGTCTGCAGTACTTTACCAATTGATACGTTTATTTGAAAAAGGTGTCACATGACAGAAATTCACATAAATAAATACTTAAGACTTTACGAACCAGAATTTAGTTTTGTTTGGAATCTGAAAAATGATCCCCGGTTATAGGGGCGTTTAACAATAACACTAACAGACTACCTGCCCCTTATGGGCGAGGAAATTGCTGTTTTTAACAATAAGGAAGTGTTAATTTCCCCGCCTTTTCCCGGGATTCGGGGGGGGGGGAGTATCAATTGACTGGTGCATAAGTTAGTAGTATAGTAGTATTAGTACCTATATTCTGTATTCAGTGAGTTCATGCACAGTGGCTTCCGTGCAGTGAGACTGTGTTGCACAGGACTCGAGGCATTTGAACGATATTTCAATGGAATTCTTATTCGACAGAGAATATATATACATTAAGACTTTGACAGTAAATAGAACTAGTGCTTATTTATAATTAGTTTCTTACTGAAATGGCTCAAGTTACTGTCGAGCAAATATTAATTTGGTTACAGGGGTCGAAATTAGCGGTATCCCGATATCCGCGGGATAGTAGATTCTTGTGTTGGATACCAGATTTCAATGCTTGGTATCCCGCCGGGATAGTAAAAAAAAATCGTCAAAATCAGGATAGTGGTTGACTGGTTGTTGAGCATATTTGCAAGCATAAGCGTGGCCGATGTTGACAATAAATGTGATGTGTATACATTGTATCAAGGGAACCAGACAATGCATCTAGACAATACATCTGCAGTGTACTTGTCTGTGAATATCTGTGAATATGTTTCCATGTTTTTATATAAATAATAATTACATTACATATTAATAATTTTCAAATGCTATTATTGCATATTTCAAGATTTTGGATACCAACATTGTTCAAATTACTATCCAAAAAATGGGATACCAGATCTTTGGGGGGATACCAGATTTCAATACCTGGTATCCCAAATGGATACCATAATAAAAATATAATTTCGAACCCTGGGTTAATATGGCTCAAGTTAGTGTGGTATAGAGTGCCGGAACACATGCACTTGGCGTTTCAATAAAATATAATGCTAAATAAATACGAAATCTATTTACTACCAAATTCTTAATGTTTCTATACTCTCTTTCACCTATTATTGCCGACAGTTTCCTGTAAATTCCGTCCAAATCCTATGTGCAACAAACACTGACTGCCGCCATTCCTCACGCGGCTGCAGTGTGCACACTGACACTTATATATATAGCAGGTAGGAAAGCGGGATCGCAAAATTTGCTCGACGCTCGCTTGATTTCACACTTTCACAGCACAAATACACATCCAACAGCTTCCATCTTTGTTTCTCCTTCAAGAACAGTGTTCACTTGTTATAAAAACATATTGTCTCTGTTCGTAACCGAGCTGTGTCACGCGAAATCACACAAAGACTAACAAAATTCTCGCGTTCGCGAACCTTGCCCAGTAAATGTAAATGGCTGCAAGTACAAGGCTATATAGACTGGTACTCGCTCCCACCCCGATTACCCATCGAGTAACTAAGCTAAGCCGAAAGGTAGGAGCGAGTGCCAGTCTATGGGCTATAGGCGGTGCACTGCTTTCCAACTCTCGCACGAGCCTCGCCATTGGAGCGTTGCAAAAACGTTGCAGCGCAAGAATGAGGCCACGAAGAGCGCTGGTGGGTGTTTCCTGATTCTGACAGCCATTTTCATTTACTGGGTAAGGTTCGCGAACGCGGGAATTTCGGCAGTCTTTGTGTGATTTAGCGTGACACAGCTCGGTTACGAACAGAGACAGTATGTTTTCATAACAAGTGAACACTGTTCTTGAAAGAGAAACAAAGATGGAAGCTGTTGGATGTGTATACTGTATTCGGGATGCCACTAGGGACAGCGCGTCTCCCAAGTCCGAAATAGTAGGTTTCAGGGGAGAGATAGTGATCCGCTAGATGGCGCATTATTAATTAGCAATTAATAAAATCAGTTAACCCTAACCCTAACCCTAACCCAAATCCTAACTCTAACCCTAATCCTAACCCTAATCCTATCCCTAATTAAAAATAATAATAATAAGGCCCTCTAGGGAGAGAATTCGATACCATGGGAGACGCGCTGTCCCTAGTCGCAGCTCTGTATTCGTGCTGAGAAAGTGTGAAATCAAGCAAGCCTCGTGCGATCCCGCTTTCCTACATGCTATATATATAAGTGTTAGTGACAGTGTGCACACTGCAGCCGCGTGAGGAATGGCGGCAGTCAGTGTTTGTTGCACATACTCTCATAGGATTTGGACGGAATTTACAAATTACAGGAAACTGTCGGCAATAATAGGTGAAAGAGAGTATAGAAACATTAAGAATTTGGTAGTAAATAGATTTCGTATTTATTTAGCATTATATTTTATTGAAACGCTTCAAGTGCCTGTAGCCTGTAGGCTGTACTGTGTCACAGTGACAGTCACAGTGTGTGTGGGAAGGTCAGGCTTCTGTAGAGTGTAGGCCCCTATACAAAAACATTGCCAACGCGAACGAAGATGACGGAGACAATACACATTAATCGTCATTAGAATATCCTAGAAAAATCACTATATTTTAAATACGTGTAACTAAGCTGTGGCCTAATGTTTTCGTTGATTAACTAAATCAAACTAACATGAACTCCTCAGAAGGGAAGCCACTGGCAGCGAAGTTATTCTCCTCCAGCAACTCGCCATTTCTACCTGATATCCCACAATTCTCTACTAGACTAGTACCTGTCCCTTCTCACAAGTTCGATATACCACTATATAGAGCTTGTAAAAAGGGACGGGTACCCGTCTATGTGCTAGACGGGATCTCTGCCCGATTTACGGACGTCGCGCCATCTGTTGGAAGAAGAACAAGCAAGGCGGTGTTTACAACTTACAAGCGTGTTGAATCTGCACGATTTATAACTTTACTATAACAATTTATGGTTAGTGTAAGGTAGTTCATGTGAAAGTTTTTTGTGAGACTACAGTTTATGTTCATTGATAACTACCATATATCCAAAACTATCCAGATATATTAAAAATTGAATTACAAATCCCAGCGAGGTTGTATGCAAAGCCAACGTTACAAAAATATGATTTCTAACTTCTATTGTTCTAATCTAAGTAATACTAATAGTAATAGTAATACTAGTAATACTAAATAATACTATTAGTATTAGTATTACCAGGAGTTAATAATGACAAAGGAGTAAGACACTTCTTTGGTACTGATTTCACTACATTGTTGTCGTACGAGTTCTATGTGAATAAAAATACAAATGTATACAAACATGAGCGTCTTTTGTTCACTGGTCCTTATTCTATCTTCCGGCAGTATTACAAAACGCGTAGCTTTCTTCGTTTTGACATAAATCATACTTTTGCACGACATGGTTTTCACGTTATTTACCGTACTCTGGCGAGGCCAAGCTGTAAATTCGCATACACAGGCTACCACAGCAACTCAAAGGAGGCACGGCAGGGATCGCCTCGGGCAGCGCCAGCGGCAACTGTACGCGGGCTATAGTTACTAGAGCTAACGGTTGCTATGCAAAACACGTGCGAAAAGCTACAATCGGCTGGAGCGTCAGTTTACTCATAACGATTCATACACATTCCTCCGCGGGTGAACTAGTTCAGATATTTTACTAGCGCAACGTTTATTTTTTTTTTTAACTTGGATTCAACCATAAAAACAAGGCATTCTAACTATAGTTTAAATGTAAAATAGTTTTAATTTTTAAACCCAGCATGGGCACAACGAAACTTAATTTCTAAGTGCATTTTCTGCACTCGGATGTCCCAAGTCCCTGTATGACACGCTGCTCCCGGTGCCCCGGAATGAGGTCAGAAGCTCCCGGTCATAACATTTTTCAGCCATATGAAAATTTACATCAGTAAATCAGTAAATTATTAAATTTGACGTTGTTGTTGATGTACTTTGATTCCAGCGAACAATAAAAGGCGATAAAACGATGATTTTACATGTATACTTCATAAAAATGGTGGTGTTCCGCGACAAACACATCGCAGCCCGCCACAACTTTTTTCCTGTTTTTGCGCACTGCGAAAAAACGGCTATGGACCTGGCTCCCTTTCTTGGATTTCTGGGCCAATGCTGGCTCCCTTTCTTGGATTGCTGGCAAGAAAGGGATTTCTTGGACTTTCCCAACTTGGGACCTCTGGCTAGACTATACGGCCTAAATTCCTTGCCGTGCCTTCTTCGAGTTGCTGTGGTAGCCTGTGTATGCGAATTTACAGCTTGGCCTCGCCAGAGTACGGTAAATAACGTGAAAACCATGGTCGTGCAAAAGTATGATTTATGTCAAAACGAAGGAAGCTACGCGGTTTGTAATACTACCGGAAGATAGAATAAGGACCAGTGAACAAAAGAAGCTCATGTTTGTATACATTTGTATTTTTATTCACATCGAACTCGTACGACAAAAATGTAGTGAAATCAGTACCAAAGAGGTGTCTTACTCCTTTGTCATTATTAACTCCTGGTATTACTAGTACTAGTACTAGTAGTAGTGATATCTATTATTATTCACTCCTGCTAATATACATTATATACCAGAAGTAGATAATAGGTAATTCCATATTATCTACTTCTGATTATACACTACAGCACTACAGGCAAAGGCAGGTATATACCGATTACCGTATTATCTGCAGGCAGCTGGTACAAATAATATTTTTACCAAAGTCATAATCTTTATGTAATCCATCGCCTGACTGAACATTCAGATATCCCTGCACAATATAACTGTTCTCCACCGTGAACAAACTTGGGTTACAAATGTCAATGGCTAGTAAATACAATGACAACGTGTTTATTTACCATCAGTTTATTATAAATACGCCCCGAGTTCCTGTTGTCTAATACCCCGTAAAGACGGCAAAATTTGAATGCACAATCTACACATCAATATACTACTACGTGCAAAGCGTGTACTAAAACGAAGCTTATTATCACAAAATCGGTCTAAGAGGCGGACTAAATTGCGTTGCTGATGCTCAGAGGTGTGCATCGCCGCATGCAGCATAGAGAATGCAATACGGGACAATATATATTAATTATGTTTTTAAGCACGCCTGACCCACCTCCATTTTGGATGGCTAACTTAGTCTGTTCTCGACTCATTTATTCTTGGTCTCTTGATGCTGATCTGCCCAAACAAGTGTAAAATCGCCTCCAATGGGTCAACTGTCACTGTAACCTATCGCAAGATGGTTCATAGCTAGCAACAAGCAGTGACTGTCTAAGTCACACACCACCATACACCATATTTTATCACCTTCAAGTTCAAACTCGCTTTACCAGCCAGGTCAGATCTGGAAGACAGCGTGATTTGGAACATGAGAACCGCCCAAACAAACATGTTTTTAATCTGTATTATCACTTGTTTTCTAAAGATTTAGTCTGTGTCTGACTATTTTTTAATGTAGGATCAAGGTTGTAATCTTTATTTGTGCAACCCCATACTGTGAATGGCCCTAGCTGTTACTATGCTCATTGATTAGAGCTACTGGTACGCCCAGGAATATAGTCCACTTTGAATGTGTAGATAATGCAGTCTATAAGGACCCCCTTCCCAACTGCCAACTGAGGATGAACTGGGAGATAGACAGTAAAGCCCACCCAGCCAAACACACGTGTCACATGGCAATGTTACACACGAAAAATCTTTCATGAAAGCTAGTAGGCCTAGATCATGTTCAGTTCTTTTAAGACAACCACTATATATATATATACACGACCTGCATGCAAATATTTGCACAAACAAATTTTGTATGAGTTGTAGCGATACTAGGTTCACAAATTATTTTGCACATAATATTAGCATACAGCACCTGTGTGAGTATGGTTTTCTGATGCAAAAATTATTTCGAGTTTAAAATTTAATATTTGCTAGTGCAATATTAAATGTGTATTAAATTTACTTCTGCACAGACTTCCAAACTCTTTAAGACTGAGCAACATTCGTTAGAATCGTCATGTCGTCACGACACAGAAATCCAGATCGACCAAAAATGGAGCCAAACAACATCAGACTGATGTCTATCCTAACATTACAGCCATTTGAAGTTCGTGAACAAGACAGGGTATGTCGATAATTTATAGGTTAGAATTGTTAGATACCATGGGTATTGTAGCTCTAGTCCACATACAGTGATAACAGTACCCTACTTCAGCTGTATAATACAGATGCAGCTGTAGCCGTTAATCTCTATTTTTGGAGGCCTCTCTTGCTAAAGTAATAATAGGGCATAATGATAAATGCAGTATACATATAAGTATATATATAGCTATATAGCTATATAGCTCTATATAGCTCCATAAGTGTCACCAACATACAATTTGATATAATAGTAATGACTAAATTCCATGACTGATGTGGAACAGTAATTAGTTGTTGTGGCGTAATACATGTTAAATTTGTATATATACTTGTAGTAATGTATTATTTGTTTTAGTTTGGAAAGTGTCGTCCAGTTACAGAGTTTGAAAAGCTTGACCGATTAGGCGAGGGGACATATGGAATAGTGTGTAAGTCTTATGTTATATACTGGGTTTGAAATTAATATTAGTCCAAAGTCAGACTTCCTGATTTGCCATCAGACTCTGGTTTGACATGTGCAGGCGTTCATGGGACTTCCTAAAAATTCTGGTATACTAGTTTGTACTGAAGCACAGTCTCAATAATTAACCATGTTTTTCTTAACAAATGAAAGAACCAAGAAAACTTTGCAGATGCACATTGCAATCATCCCGCAATTTCAAAACGTGTAATCAACAGCAGTTGTTGCATGTAGCCATTGTGTGTCGCACGCTTGCCGCTGATGTTTGCATATGGAGTGGCTAGCTGCTGTATAGATTGTTGAGGTGGAATGGGGGATTGTTTCACGTCTATTGTGCAAAGCGATGTCTCATGTTGAGCATGCTAAAAATGTGTAGCGGGTGATCGATACGGAGAACAGAAATTTATCTGCCACTCAACACAATTTAGCTGTTTCTCTCATATTTCTGTTCGTTCTTTTTTGTATATTGTGGCTTTTTCTGGTCATTAAAAGATGGAGATGCTTATTGTAATCTCGAATTGGCATATGAACACGGACAATTATACATAGCTGGCATAAAGTGATCAAGTGCTAGCACCTCTGATAAAATTGGAAGGAATCAACTTTCTGATCAAATTAAAAGAACATGGACATTACACAGCTATCTTTGCCTTTTTAGGCAAGGTATCACTTTAGCATGCCATTGCTTGCATAAAACAGCCGTGCAAGTAATTAATCACTTGCCTGAATTTTATATCTGACAAGGTGGTAATGGGTTGTTGCTGACTCATTATTATTAACAGTAGATGTCGACCTCGATATCACTAGGCTAGTAGGTGTTAAAATATAAGAATTTTCAGCAATATGTTAAGTAGTATAAAAGCAGTAGGTATTTTTCGTATCATTGCAGATCGTTCAAGAGACACAAAATCTGATGAGATAGTAGCATTGAAGAAAATGCGAATGGAGCGGGAAAAAGACGGTATGAAAAAAAGAGGCTGTTTATACATATATATTATTCTATATTAATGGTAAGTTTCTCATCTATATTCAGTTATACTTAATAACAGGGACTTCAAAACATAAAATGTTGTTTTATCACTTTGACATGCCCACCGCAATGACCATATGTTATGTAAATATTTAGCAAGTATTACTTTTGAAAGTAACAGAACATTAATTGTTTTTTGAATCTTGTGTTTCTTGCAGGAATTCCAGTGAGTGGTCTAAGAGAGATCAACATTTTGTTGAATTTAAGACAAGAGAACATAGTGCAGCTGAAGGAAGTGGCAGTTGGGAAAAGCTTAGACAGGTATACCACATTTACTCTGCATATGGATAATCAAAATAGTTACAATAAAGCTACTAAAACTATAAAAATTACATATCTAAGATAACCCAACAGCTTCTTTTTGACATCCTGATCTGTGATACTGTAACTCCCCATTCTTAAAACTTGGTATAAAATTGTTTTATCGGCCATGAGTATTACATTTGATCTTTCAGCATTTTTCTTGTAATGGAATATTGTGAGCAGGATTTAGCCAGTCTACTTGACAACATGAACTCTCCTTTCTCCGAGTCTCAGGTATGTTTAAAATTTTTGACATTGATTCGCATATACGCCTTACCAGGAATATATATATATATATATATATATATATATATTATATAATTAAATTTCATATGGTATAATCTGTCTGTGTAATTTCACATTTTCAGGTGAAATGTATCATGCTGCAGGTATTTACTGGATTGGACTATTTACACAGAAATTATATCGTTCACAGGTAATTTAAAATGATTAACTTCAATTCAAACAATCCTAAACTCATCTTTCTTCTGTTTCATTCATGTTGTCCTTTAAAACTTAAAAATTATGGTCTTGCAAGTTTTGACTTAGTTTTGAGATATTTGAAATTGTTATAGTTATTTCAATTGAATTGGTGCCAAATTTCTAATTATAGGGATTTAAAAGTTTCAAACTTGCTAATGACAGATAAAGGCTGTGTAAAGATAGGTAAGCATAGAATTGTATGTATATAACTCATTGGTACTTCTACTAGTGACTGTTTTTTAATTCATTTACATGTGTTATGGTAATCTGTACTAAAGGATAATAACTAAGAACGATTGGTAAAAAATCCTAAAAACTATCAAGTACGCAGATAATATTTATTAATATTTTTGTATTGATCCATGTTTTATATTTTTGTTTATTGGGTGTAATCGTGGTATTGGATGCAGCTGATTTTGGACTTGCTAGGAAGTTCTCCTTGCCAGTTGACATGGAATTCCCAATGACACCACATGTTGTCACACTATGGTAGGTCTTATTTATTGCAATCATTATATCTTCAAAAAATTATAATTTTAACCAATATAAGTAATTTTGTATTACAGTTGAATTAAAGATACTCTCAACTTTCATATCAGCTCAAAACCCTTGACGTTTTCTATGTATTTTTTTCATTTATTCGATCAATTTGTTTAGGTACAGAGCACCGGAACTATTACTTGGAGCAAAGACACAGACAACAGCTATTGATGTATGGTGAGTGACCCTGGAGCTGTGCCTTATCAACCAGTGTTGTGAATTGCACACAGTTTAGTTTACTTAATATTCCCTGTAATTCCCATAACCCTATCAAGTGCAGTTGTGCAGTTCATCCTACATCATGTCAATTGCTGTGCTATCCAAACGTGAATTGTGCAATTTTAAATATATATATATATATATATATATATATCAATACCAATAATGGCATCATGAGTTTGCCCTACAGTGTTGTAGTTGTAGTCGAGTCCGCACCTCCCGAGTCCAAGTCCGAGTCCGAGTCTGCACCCCCCGAGTCCTAGTCCGAGTCCACACCACCCGAGTCCGAGTCCGAGTCCAGTTTTGATAAAAAAAATCCCTAAGCTATATTTTTCTATCCCAAACCCTACACTATGAAACCTAAAACCGTGAGTCTAAATTTGTTTATAAAATTTGAAATTTCTAGCAAAATTTCAAGGAAGCGAGATTGTCAGGTAACAATAAAATAAGTATAGACGAGATGACAGCGCGAAAACTCTCAACACCCGAAATCCACACACTCAACTGGCAAAAATCAATGTGAATAAACAGCTAGTCTCATAAATTTAGGTAGGCATTTTAGTTTTAAATTCTTGTAAACTGCGTGTTTACAATATGTACAGTTATGTACTATGTAGTGGCCTCGAGTCCGGAGGGCTCGAGTCCGAGTCCGAGTTCGAGTCATTGCACTCCGAGGCCAAGGCCGAGGCCGAGACCAAAGAAACCGGCCTCGGGGCTGGTCTCGAGGCCAAGACCGGCCTCGAGACCTACAACACTGCTACCCTATGGATTATCCGTTTGGCTGTCGTGCTGTTGATATAAACTTTAACGTTGTTAGTTGGTGATGGCTGATACATTCCTTACTAATACATGAATTTCACCATCTTTAGGGCAGCGGGATGCATACTGGGAGAGCTGCTGGCACACAAGCCCCTGCTTCCAGGCCGATCTGAGATCCACCAGCTGGAGTTGATCATTACCTTGCTGGGGTCACCCAGCGAACACATATGGCCGGTGAGTCCGTGATGCATATCGTCCGCACCGGTGTAGCATCGACACTTTTTGATAATTCCGGAAAAGAAAGGAGGAAAATCCTCAAAATTCCAAGTAACTACTGAATATTGGTGTGTGGCTGTAGGAAAGATCCCTTTAGCTAGTGAACATTTGTGTGTGGCTTCAGGAAACACTCCAATACAGTTGATTACAGAGTTGGCTAGTAGTTTAGACTAAGTAGACATTAGAAAATGAAACATTATCATAACGAAATATACACATGGAGTTTACGAGTTGTATTGGTTATCGTGGTTACCATGAAGATATATATACTGAAATCAGCATGCATATGTTCACTTCATTACGTGCATAGTCTCGGATTACTATAGTTATTGCATCTCATGTTTTTGCGTGTACATCTGCATTTGTGCACAGTTCTGAGTCTCATAAGGTCACCTCTTACATCTTTGCATACAGGATTTCCTACAGCTACCTCTCATGAAGAATTTTACACTGAAGCAGCAGCCGTACAACAACATGCGGCACACGTTCCCGTGGCTGTCGGAAGCTGGCCTTCGATTGCTTAATGCTCTGTTCATCTACGATCCTCGACAGCGGTAATTCTTTTCATTAATTAAAGGGACAGTAGCCTCTAGGATTTTACTGCATACAACTGTACTTACTATATAACAAATCGTCTATACCCCACACGTACTGTGGTACAGATACTTCAATTAATTGTTAAATATTTACACATCACTCGCTACGAAATTGAACGGCGCCCATGCCACCCGCTCCTTACGCATCCCTCACGCACGCACTCTGAGCCGGCACAGGTTAAGCATCACTCATGCACTTCGCGCCAGCCCGTCGCCGGCGGCAGTCAGCCCCCACTCGGCAAGCCGCGCCGCGACGGCGCCACCCCCGGAAAAGTTGCGTAATCTTACATTATCTTTGCATCGTTCAGACCGAGGCTAATCACAAAATGCTCATAATTTATAGACTAAATGTCTAATTCCTACCGAACGATATTCATTTAGGGCAATTATCCATATAATGAAACTATCTGCGTTATAGGAATACATCTGTTGCCTTTTAAATGAATAGAATAAGAAACCCCCTCGTCTGTACCCTCTGCTGAATGTCTATTTGCGCAACTTACAGCATGTGCGCTTTGGACGGCCCGCAGCCGTCGTTTGTAATACAAACGCTAGTCGCTGTTAAACTTTTAATATATTATCTAATGGTGACTGAACCACTGAACCTTTTTGCTATGAGCGATAAATACTAAACCTCAATAGCTGAAAAAAACCCTAAGACCTAGACGTAATAGCTCTCCCTTTACATAAATGAGTAAATTATAGTCAGTGATGACTATATTGTAAACCGGCTTACATTTTAAGCCGCACAAGTGCAGCATCCAAACGCTAATTCTTCATACTAACTACTGTCATAGCAAATACTCGTGTCACTGATAAACATAACTACCTTACTGCAAAATCAAACTCTAGTTACCCTCCATTCTGCTGCGCCTATCCCACAAAGAAGGAAATCGACATCGAGTAATCACGCCAACGTACTGTTTCAAACAACATACACATCGAAGTGGATACGTACGCAATGTTTTATCATGTGTGCGGCTCGCCCCGTACGCCTGTACGCGGCACCCAGCTGGACGGACGTTCTCTGAGATGGGGAACTGTCACACATCGGAGTAGTCAAAAATACTTTAATAAACACGCCAATGAAGAATAGAGAACTAGAGTTATTTGCCATAAGAGATATAGATATATCATACACGCAAGTATTGCTAGTCAGGTACGGGAAGAAATTAACGTTCTCGAGCCAGTTGTGCGGCTTTTAACTGAGCATCGAACATGGTTTTTAATGCATAAGTATGGAGTTATCCAACATCATTCGTGAGAGAGTACCCAGCATCATGTCATCACCGGTTACTATGTTGTACTGCATAGCGCATCCTCATCATTAGCTACATACTTGCTGTTTCATTCTCATTTCTAACTGCTAGGTAACAGGACTTTGGTATCTCGTGTATACAAGCTTAATGGGAACATAGAATATTTTCATACACAAAGTATTGTATATATATATATATATATATACTATATCAGTATTGTGGCGCCGTGTGCGTGCATGAGATGTCACTGACACGCGTGTGTGTAGCATCTAATATACTATATACACGGTTCTTGAATAGCCGTAACCGTTATTTTACCGGTCTCGCAGCATTTTCCCGGCTATCAATCTTGAGAAAACTCCACAAAGTACGGATACACATACTTAATCAATTTAAAAACGGAGTTATTTTAAATACTTCAACTCCAAACTAACCTGTGCCGGCGTCGCCGGCGATTTGATTACCCTGTCGGACAACAGACAAACGCAATCTAAATTCAACTACAACAATCTTATTGGGTTCGATAGCGAATCCATCAGAATTCGTTTCAAACAACTTACAGCAAAGCGGGCGCGCGTTAACCATACTTAACGCCGCGGAAAACGAGATCGTTCTTGCAAAAGACAGACTCCTGAAGTCTTTTAAAAGAAGAGCAACGTACAAGCGATATACCAGGATAGCAGCATAATCTGCGCGTCTCGTAAAAATGATGCAAACATACTTACACCGTGTCCACGGAACACTCGTCCGTCGTCGAGACATGATTTCAGTTATTAGTAATTTTTTTTTTGATCTTTGTTCTTTGCTTGAGCGCTCACCTCGGACAAAAATTTTAAATTTGATCATTCACTAAGTTAGGCAACTTTGATTTTGCTTTTCTGTTATTAAAATGAAAGCTGCAGATTTGACTCTGACACTGATTCTGACCATTAAAATAAAGGACCAGACTGAGGACATATAGTGTTACCTGAACTTAGTCGGAAGCTGTCCCACCATTGAAACCATACTTAGTAACATGTACACTTACATAGAAAATTCAGTCCACATTATATAATCAACTGTGGACCAGATTATAACAAATGCAGATAATTGATCTCACTCTGACACATACTAACTAAATAAAGAGAAATCCACTGTTACTGGACTTTCACTTACATTAGATTTTCTTTTATACAATATTAATACATATTTACCTATCTAAAACTACCAATTCTAGAACCCCTACCATCAAAAATAGCGTTTTATTTTCCTATTGTGGGTAAAATCAGAATTTTTCAGTGTGCAATGCCCCGAACCCCACCCAGCTCGGGGCTCAGACGCGCTCACCAACCCTCCTGTCCGGCAAAAACACCTTACCGCTGCATTCATTCGTCACAATTACCTGCTCTTGTCAAAAGTACACAAGACCCTGATATATACAACATATATAAACTACTGCTTTTTTATATAATATTGTTCTTACAGGGCAACAGCGGAAGAGAGTTTAGAAAACTCATATTTTAAAGAGCCACCATATTGTAAGTCTATATTACAATTAATTTAAATTTGCTATCGTTGGCATATCATTCTGAATCGATTCCTTCGTGGTTTTGTACATAACAGCAAAAGATTTGCCTGAGCAGTTTGCATTCCTTTAAACAGAATGTACTAAATTCGAGTATATCGTCTTCTATGCAAAAGTAACCTTACATCTGACATGTTTTCAGCGTGTGAACCAGAACTAATGCCTTCATATCCACAACACAGACTAAAGAGTTCGTCAGCTTCTACTACAAACACAGAGTGAGCTTGAGAGTCTAAGTTTTCGAACAATCCGGTTATAAGCGAAATTTTGGAACCTGTTATGTTCATATAATTCACTTTTCTTTTTTCTGTTTTGTTTCTCTTTTTCTGTTGATTTGGAAAGGAGGATTACATGCCATTTGTTGCAGTTGTAATGAACAAATAGCATCATAGGCAGCGTATGGGATTTCCTGGTTTGTCACTGAAAGTATTTTCCCATCTGTTGTGTCTTGTTGTTTCAGATCCCGAAAAAAATCTTCAGGTACTAGTCAAAAAGACCTGATTGGTCCACAGTTGCCAGTAAGTATAAACAAACAATTGACTTTGTAACATGAATTTTTATGGTTAATAGTTGAATGGTATGTTTGTCTGATGTATGAAACCTTTGTATGAAATTATGAATGATGTATGAACATTTGTTTCAATTGCAGCAAAAAAGGAAGCGATGACAAGAAAATCAAAGGGGACATCAGCCAGAATAATCAGTTGAGTCTAGTGTAAATAAATATGTGAAAATGATCAAATGTGTTATATCTGCTTTGTAGCATAATTTCTAATGGTTTGCAATGACCATTACTGTATACGTACGGTATGTGAGAGTAGGTGTAGTTTGTTATCCGGTAACGAGGAACTTACTCTATTCCTGAATCAAATGAAGTCATCCCAAATTATGACTTCCCTGGTAACTTATTTACTCTGATCTAAATGATAAATTTTTGGTATGAAGATTATCAATGTATTTGTATCAGAGACAGATAATATTAAGATTGGAAGGGGTCAGGCACTCTTTTGCCGAATTCTACATCTTATAGTATAATTTTAAGTAAAAAATGTGACAATACTCCAGCTCCAGATAGCATGCGTATTTTAGTAAAGTACGCATTGAAAACACTCATTTACCCATACATGTACAAAACACAGAGTACAGATACGATAGCATTTGCCCCAGTACGCATGAATGTATACAAACTTTGAGTACAATCACGGTAGTATTCTTCAACGTATGCGTAACGTTAGTGCTGTCACTTTGTCAGTCATTTTAAACCAAAAAGTACAACACACATGCACACATACTCACGCACATTCTGATTCACGCGCACACGCACGCATGCACACTCACGCACGCACGCACGCACGCACACAATGCAAGCAGAATTGGACAACGTAGAAAGCAAAATACTTTCAGTACTCATTGGTAGAAAAAATGATGAGTACCGTATTTGGCGAATACTCGTGGCAAACTACCCGGTACTCATGCATTTGAAAATTGATGAGTAAATACTCATCCAATCCAAAAATTATCTGGAGCACTGAATACTGTAACGAAATTTTAAAAATATTGTGGTAATATGGGCCCATTTTCATTCAACAGCTCTGACATCCACCCTTGCAGATATGTGTAATGGATGTGACTGTGAGCAATTACTGTAAATATTATATTACATTAAAGGGATCGTTTACTCTAGGTTCTAGGGTTATTTTCAGTTAATTTAGGTTAAAATTACGCTACATAAAAAGTTTCATGGTTCAATCACCATTAGACATATCATTAAAAATGTTTTAAAACTAATACTACAGTTTGATTACAATGACGGTGGCGCCACTCACAGCGCACGATCTGATAAGTTGCGCAAAACCACTTTTCAGCCTAAGGCTACAGACCGAGGGTGTTTCTTATTTATTAATTTAAAAGCAAAAGGATTCTAATATCTTATAAACGACATATAGTTTCAGTTATAATATGGATCAATTTGCCCTAAAATGAATATCGTTCGGTTAAATAGCATTTAGGTATAAATATAATTGCACTTTTGTGATTAGCCCTCAGTCTGTAACGTGCAAAATAAATTGTCAAATACGCAACTTTTTCGGGGTGGCAGCACGGTCGCGGGTGTCATGGCGCCGTTCAAATTTCGTAGCGTTGATGTGTAATTAATTATAACAATTAAATTAGGTATCTGGTAACAAATACGTGTGGGTATAGACGCTTTGTTATACAGTAAGTACAGTTGTATGCAGTAAAATCCTAGAGTCTACTATCCCTTTAAATTCGGTTTTTATTAGGGATCGGTTTTTAATACATCGGAGTTTACATTTTTGAGGTGGTAGCGTCCTTCTGTTACCTGGGTGACACTCTGTCAGCCGGTGGTTTGTGCGAGCTTGTATCTATCACGCGGGCCCAGGTCGCCTGGGGAAAGTTCAAGAAGCTGCTGCCGATCCTGACTTCCCGCTGCCTGCCCCCCCCCTCACCAGAGGCTGTGTCTACAACTCGTGTGTCAGAAGTGGCATGCTGCATGGCAGTGAGACTTGGGCACTGACCATCGACGCCTTCAACCGCCTCCGGTGGAACGATACAGCGATGATCCGTTGGATGTGCGGTGTGACCACCGAGGACGACCTCGAGTCGGTGTTGCGAACCAGGCGTGTCCGCTGGTTCGGCCACGTTGAGCGCAGCGAAGGCTGGATAAACAGAGTGCGGCACATCCAAGTCGATGGAGCGAGAGGGCGTGGACGCCCAAGAAAGACGTGGGAAGAGACTGTGAAGAAAGACAGGGTAGCACGCAGCCTGGTACAAGTCAACCCGAGTGACAGGGGAGAGTGGAGCGGAAGATTGAGGACTGTTGTCACGCAGGACCCACATACCCCTCTTCGTGAGGGACTAATTTAGTCCTGCGTCAACAAATAAACAAGGATAATGATGATGATGATGACATTTTAATTAACAATAGCTGCTTCACTCAGCACTCCCATTTCTATTAGCTACCTCTACAAACATCCTTCCAGATATCAGATAAACAGTTGAATAAGTCTATCATTTACAGATACAAATTCAAATACATTTATTTGAAGTTAGCATTTCCAACAAAAAACGTTAGTCCAAAGGCTAAAACATTTCAGTACACTGTTTCTAATGCAAACTGACTCATAATATTTTGCACCTGTCAGCCTAGAGCACTATGGTGTTATGTTATGGTTGCGATGGTGTTGCTATATTCTAAAATACGAACAGGCCAGGGGCGTACCTACCTATACGCAAAGTACGTCAATGCATACTAAAAAAATTTCAGAATAAAAAAAAAGTATTCTTTATTGTAATTTTTTATATAATGTTTAGTTGGGCTTACAGAATTATGCGTGTGATAAGAATAATGACTACAGTACGTGTCATTACGCCAGATGGTCGGAAGGATTTCAGTAAAAATAACAACTTTGACACATTTGAGTGCAATTTTGCGTACCATCAAAAAATGTCTGGGTACGCCCCTGGGTGTAAACTGCACACTGGTTCAAGATATAATTGATGATATTCGGCATGTACCCTTCAATACAATGAAACATGGAAATCTCGCGAGCTGGGCGTGCTTTCTCTCTCTCTCTCTCTCTCTCTCTCTCTCTCTCTCTCTCTCTCTCTCTCT